AATAGAATATTTTCATTATGTGTCTAGAAAAAAAAAAAAATAGAAAACATATCAAAATTTCCAGTCCCAATATCTTTATCCTGTACAGAAGTAATTTTTCTTTTCCTGGTAGAGAAGCCACTGCAATATTGCCATTTTAATTACGTTTACAATTCAAAAAAATAAAATAAAAGGACTGCAATCTGCCATTGAGATAGAGATTTGCCAGTATCATTAAAGAATGAAATAGAAGTCACCTTATAAATATTATGCAATGACAAAAATACATATAGAGAAGCGTGATCTTTTGAAAAATTAAAATTAAAGGTATAATCAGGATATAGACAGAAAAAACTACTGACAATCAGAATTTTCACTTTTATGTAATTATATAGGTAGAGAAAGTATTAGAGTCATAACCAAAGCAGGTAATCCCCTGGAGAAGTGCAGGAAAAATCAGATCTTCGTTGCAAACTGTGGTGGGTTGATCATGACTGGCTGCCAGACACCCAGGCAGCCAGCCACCCTCACTTCCTCTCCTCATGGGGACAAAATAAGGTGGAAAAGCTCACGGGTCATGCTGGTGGGATCAAAGACAAAATCCTGCTCCACCACATGGCCCTCATGGGCTGCAGGGCAGTCCATGCATGAGTGCCTGGGGTTCCATCCCTGCCCATGCTCCCTGGGAGCTCGCAGGGCTCTGTCCCCTTTGTTCCCCACTCTCTGGGCAGTGTTTTGCCCTTTCTCAGGCGCATTTACCCAGAGGTGCTGCCTCAGCCCTGCCCTGTCTGGCTGCACTGTGGGATCGGCCTCCCCTCACTGCGCTCCCGAGCCAGGCCGTGCATGCCTGGGCACAGACACCTGATAACAAACCATCACAAAAAAAACCCGCTTCATGGAGAAAAATACTGCTACTCTCTTTATTTAAGTGAGTTAAATTCAAAAACACTCACACATCTCAGTTTTGCTTAAATTGGTTGTGTCATTGCCACTTCCAGCCTAAAGCTGCAGCTAAATGGAGAACTTGTTTCTGCTGGTGGCCACAACCACTGTGTTCTGAGGGTGCCAGCTGGCTTTTCCCTTGCTCCCAGGTGTTGCTGAGAGAGGATGCATTCCTTTGCTTGCTCTGCCTCTGGGCTTGATTAATTTAAAGCTTGCAGAGCACAAAATTCCTGGAGGATTTGCTTTCTGTCTTCCTTCTCTCCTGTGTCTTGTACAGTCACTTCACCTGTGACATGCAGGGCTCCAGGACCCAGCTTTGGCCTAGATGGACAAGAACTTTTATTAGCAACAACTTACCTGGAAGTCCCTAATATTGAACTGTTTAGCTCATTGTGTAGCTGCAGTCCTGAATTCAAGCACTTCCTGCAAGTGTGGTGTGAAAGGGATTTTATTCTAGATCTCCCAGCAATGTTTTGAAGCATTATGTTTCAAAGTATAAAAAGAAGGACAGGATGGTTGTTTAGTTTCTTTTCTTTTGTTCCTTTTCCCCCTTCCCTCCTCCCTGTTTGTGAGAGGAAACTTGCTGCAGCCTAAATGCCACTCACATATTGCTGTAAAAGGTGAGTTGTCATTACTTGATGATCTGGAGTTAATGCTTTAGTTCTTCAAGAAGAACCATACTCACTTATGCATATTTGCTGTCATCTTACTTCAGTGTCATTGGGGAGTTTGTAACACTTTCTCTGGGTTGTCTCTGATATCTTCTGGATTCTTGGTCTGTTTTTATAATTAGCTCACAAGTTACCAACAATTTCAGGATTACAATGCTTAAGTGATTTTTGTGGACTCAATCTTTCCTGCATACATTCTAAGAAAAAATAGAGTTAAATAATTTGCTAGAGTGAAAGAATGATCAAATAGAAACTCATCAGTTAGATGCAGAATATGAAATGAGTACAGCCTGAATCCATTTTTCTGGGCCAGAGATTATGAATGTAAATAGAAAATTCTCCACATCATCTGACTCAGAATCTACTGGATCAATAAAAACAGCTAATGCAGAGTAGCTTCTAATTTTCAAGTAGAAACAGAATTTCAGGTGATATATATATTGTTTCCAAAGTTTATGCGTCTGTTTATAGATTCTAACATACACTGTTATTAGTAGATGTTGTGCATGAAAACAAGTGAAAGACTATTACAGTTCTGTCCTTATTACTGTGTGTATTTTCCAAGAGCTTTATATTTGAGAATTGGTAAGTCAGCGAGCTGTCAGTGCTCACACACATTATGTACACACAGGTTTTCAATATAGATCTGTTTCAGATTAACGGAAAATAGTGTTGGTTGCTTTGGAAAACATTATTCTTCGGAATATTTATTGACTGTATGGGTCCTCCTGATTAAGCAAGGATGAATGATGTCTATCTGTCAGGCTCAGAAAGTAGCATTATGTATGGATTGCTGATTGTGCCTGGAATGCTCTTCTGGAAAGACAATTCAGACATAGTGTCTTCAGAAAAAGTATGAGTTTCACATCAGAGTAAATTGCTATATGGAATGTAAATTGCAAATATGAAATTACCAGTGTTCCTTGAATCCCATGAGATTCACACATAGAAGTAGACTTCAGCTGTTAACACCAGTCCTGCTGAGCCTGCAATCTTTCCTATGGATCAGTGCAGATGGTGCTGATTTCCAGACTAAAACCACTCTACTGTTTTAAGTGACTGCTGCCATGATGCTGACAAAATGGAAACTTTAGTTAACATCTTTCTATTGTTATTCATACTAAGTCTCATGCACAGACAATGAAGGAGAAAACCAGAGATAAGCCAATCTTGAAAAAAATTTGTGATGCAAATGTGTAGTTTCCCTGCTGAGCTCTCTAAAAGTCAGCAACTGATGTACTCTACCACCTGACTTACAGCTGACTAAATCAGACCTTATTTTTGATGGTGCTAAGGTCTCCAGATGAATGTAATATCCTTTTCTTCATTACTGAAAAGAAGACGTTGGGCAGTGAAATTAGTTATTTATAATGAACATATTTAGTGCCTAAATAGTAAAAGAAATTCCAGAATTAACTCCTCAAACACTTCCAAAGATGAGGTTAGTACCAATCAGAAAGTTCCGCTCCTGTGCCTAAGTGTTAATCTGGAACCACAAGTTAAATATTGTGGCGATTTCAAAGTACAGAGTTTCTCAAGAAGAGGCAGGACAGTTGTGGCATTTAGGCATTTGACTGCTTCTTTGAAGGCTTGATGAACTGCTTTCCTGTAAGAAGATATTCAGTCTCCCTGCTTGGAATTATAAATAACATCTGTCTAGTGTGTAGACGATGGCATGGAGTATTAAAGGCTAAGGATTAGGCATTCATTAAATGATGAATCATATTCATTATGGCCTCTTTCTGTAGAACAACCCTTTCTGCTACAAACCCAAATAATCTTTATCATGAATAAAGAGAAAATGTCTTACTCAACAAATACCCAACTTATTTCCGTAGGAGTTAATTTGCTTTATTGTTCTATGTTCTCCTCCCAGTCAGAACCGTTTTGGCCTATATTCTTTGGAAACTTACTTGGCAGCATCAAGGCATTTTTATTTTTTATATTTGGCTTTATTTTTGCAAAACCAAAACTATTGGTACCAGCTGAAAAAATCAGTTAGAAATATGTAAATCCAGTCCTCAAATGCGGTTTCCTTTCCCACTCTTTTTCTACTGTCAGTTTTGTAACAGACACAAGGAATTTTATTTATTAATTAGATTGATTTGATTGACTGACTGAGACATTTGGTATGGTTGAATTGTTTGATGTATCAGAATGTATCTTGCTTTCAAATAATAGTTCCTTTGCTATGGAGCATTTAATAGAAAGTGTAATAAACCATTATAGATTGAAGGGCTGCATATTATATCAAGCGTTGGCTTCCCTTAACTTTTGTTTTTGACCACAGTGAATGACACAGTAAACATTCCTATTGAGTGACAGATTTGAGACAGCAAAATGAACTGAGAACAGAAAGTGCATAAGTCCTCAGCTAGTCTCCGTGTTTAATAGAAATGGATCAGGAAAAAAAACATTAGAAAAGCAGACTGTAGGCAGCCAGGCCAATATGAACTGTCATTTAGAATGGGTCTCTTCTGCTCTAGATAAAATATCTGGAGGACTATCAGTAGATAATTCCCTCATAACTCCCTCAGAAGTATTGTTTGCATCTAACATGTCTATCAAATCTATTTGATTCCTTCTAATATTGCAGACAATATACAGGTACAAATATGGTCATTGGAAGTTTTTCCAAAGTGAAAAGCTTACATGTTAAGGATTATTACTTGGCCTGAGAAGAAAAAGGGATTCAGGTTTTAGTGTTGAAAAAGCGATACAAATTTACTATTTCTCTTTTAATCAGATTTTTTTTTTTATTATTGTGTGCTAGTTTCACAGATGGAATGGAAACAGTTGCTCTAAATGTCCTTTACAGAGACAGTTCTGTGGAGAATTGTACTTGTTTGCACCCAGTCATTGGAACTTTCTGCTGTGAAGATGTGTGTGCTGTGAAAGATGAGATCTTGTTTTCCTTGTGTGCTTCCATTTTTTGTAATATATGATTTCATATGGGGAAATAAGCTTTTTTTCTCAGTAGTGACTGGACTTAATTTTGCATATTCATTTCACATCTTGAAGATGATGAAGACCATATTTTCTTTCCTATCTTCTCTGAAACAGACAAGTAATTTTTGTTATGGAGGATTTTACCTCTCTGCCTGCATTGGTGAAGCCAGCTGAGGATGCCCCACATCCTTTATCTAATTCTGAGGCAAAACTCACAGTGACATAAATAACAGATGCACAGAGCACACATTTACTTTTACATGATGCATCGCTCCAATGAGTCTACTGAAGATTTGCATCAGATCCCTGCTCTACCCCGTCTCCTACTGCAATTTTTATTATGATACTGTAAAATATTTAGCTAAGCATTGGGGTCTAATGTCAGTGCAAAGACTACCATTGACTTCAGTGGGATTTGGAATCAGGTCATAAAGAATAGGTCATGTTTTTATTTTGCAGGAGTGTGCCGCTAAGCACATTTTTCACTGTAGTGAGTCTTGAGAAAAATACTAAATAAGGGCTGTGCTCTGTGAAGGACTTCCTTTGGAGCTCTAATGGGTGAGTCATTAACCACCTTGTACATTTAAAAGGTAACACTAACATGTCTATCTTTTTCTTAAGTCTAATTATAGCAAAAATAATTTACTGTATACAGTCTTGTTCAAAAGCATGTCTTTGAAACATGCTTTCTGAATACTTAAAAGTATTTATCTGCTAAAGCTGCCATATAGAATCCCCTTTTCATGTTTTTATTGCAAATATCATAAAAGATCTACTGCTGCTCATGTTTATGTACAAATGTGGCCACTAACCTTGCCCCACTTTCATAGATTTGTTCATCTCATGAGACACTTTGTATGCTGTAAACTGAAAAAAGATACACAATTAAAACTTGTTAAAGATAATTAAACTGAAGTGGAGAGAAAAAAAACCTGCCACACTGCTTTGTTCATAATAATAGTCTCTGAACTATAATTAAATTCTTCCTTCCAATAATTGTATACATATAAAAGAATTTTTCAGATAGCAAAACAATACGATGATTAAAAATGATTAAGAAGCTGATTCCAAAAGCAAAGATGAGCCAGGGAGGGTTGGAAAGATTTTAGGTGCCTCTAAATATACTGTACCAGCTGGGTACCAGATGGTGTTTGGCTACTTGCACCCACTAACTCAAAATATCGAAGGAGTGACTACACCATTGCCAGAATCAGTTCCCCTCCCTTAAATAAAAGTGGCACTCTTGGGAAAGACTTGGCAGTGCAGAAAAATTTCCTGACAATGAGATCTATTAGATTGTGAAGTAGTCTCCCGAAGGCAGAAGTAGATGCCAAATTGCTTGGCATGTTGGAGAGGCTGGAGGAAATCTAGAAAAATACTGTAGAGATGTGTTACTCTACTGAGGTGACTTTGTTATAAACTTGGAGCTGGGGCATTTAGATAAGAGTATTTCTGCTTTCTCCAGAATAACTTTGAAATATTTCACTTTGTCTTTCACATTAATCTAGAAAAATACTGTAGAGATGTGTTACTCTACTGAGGTGGTGACTTTGTTATAAACTTGGAGCTGGGGCATTTAGATAAGAGTATTTCTGCTTTCTCCAGAATAACTCTGGAATATTTCACTTTGTCTTTCACATTAAGCTTGTTTGCATGTAGCATCAAGGACTGAAGATATTATTTTCTTCTGGCTTGTATCTAATAAAAAAATCAGTCATTTCATGGATATAGTTGGCTTCATGATCTTGGTATTTATGTGCTTTTTAAAAAGTTATCTTGTACTAGTGTAGTGTACATACTTTCCTTCCAAAATGTTTTTAAGGCATCTTGCAGAAACAATAAGCACCACCAATATGTTATATGAGACGTGCAGACATCATCAGCTTTTGAGGATAATGAAAAATCTCTTGTAATTTGTTCCTCTTATCTGTGATCAAAGGATAATTAGAAAGAAAGAAAAGATAATTAAAAAGAAATTAACTTAACTTCAAACTCCCATTTCTGTAGGCTGTTTGAGAATCAAGCCAGAAATAAGCACACCACTATATGTAGCAGTTTGCTAGCAAGAAATCATCTCCAAATAGTTGGAAGTGTGATTGCATTAATTGTGTCCAAAATGAAAGGTTAAAGAAATCAGTAGAATCATTGTATTATGGAATACAAAAAAGGGAATGATCTGATTAACTAATGAAGGTTCCAGCCTCTACAGATGCTGCTAGGACTTGTTTGCTATTTCAGGCTAGCTCAATTAGTACATCCAAGGAAAAAGTAGAAGGAAAAGAGTGAAACGTTTTTTCTTTTCTGCTTTGTTATTGTTTATTTATTCATTTAAATGAATAAAAACCTTGGGGACCTAAAGCCTCCAGTGTCATTTGAAAGTATCATTTTCAATTTGAGCCCCAGCTGTGGACTCTTTTGTCTTTGAACTAAATGCAGCTGGGGCTGCAAGCGCCCTTGGCAGAGACAAAGCAGTTGTTTTCTGAGGCGAGGCTTTGATTCCACATCTTTTCTCCCTGCCACTACAGACTAATTTTTGCTTGTAAGTAGAATTTAGGTTTTTTATTTAAAACCGCAGACCTGCCTTGTGCTGAGGGGCTTCCATGCAGGCTGCACAGGAAGGTATAGCCCTCTCTAGAGTCTCTCCTACCTTTTGAAATCTTTGAAGTATCCCAACAGGAGCTCTTCTAAGTACAAGAAAGTCTGGTTTTAAAAATTCAGTCAGCTTACATCCAGTGTTAGTTTGTAATAATGGTGAGAAGTAGAAGTACAGTGGAGTCCTTTCCAGGCGTGTGGGTGCTCCTTGTCTCTCAGAGCTTGTTCCTCAGTCTCATTCAGTTCAGAAGCAGCATGACAAAATCACGAGACAGCTAAAGTCTGTTTTGATATTCATTTCTTTCTGACATTTGGTTTTGTCAAAAGATTGCTTAAATCCCAGTAGCACACTGCTGCTTTGTTGGTGTTGGGTATTTGCCAATCAGCACTTGAAAAGCCCTGCTCAGGACAGTTTGCACATGCTGTAAGGGGTGCTGTGCTTCAGATGTTGCTGTGCTCATATTTGAGCTCTATGATCACGAGGGAATGAATGGCAACGATCAAAAAACCTGCTGATCCAGTTTCTTCATCAGTTTTTCCCAAAGCCAGATTGCAGAGGGATATCAGAAACTAATAATAGATTACTGAGTGTACTTTGAACTGACAATTTAAAAAATAATTTCTGTCCACTGTAGCAGCAAATTCTAACTGGATTCTGCTGGTAGCATCCCACTGTTCTTACTGTACTGAAAATATTGTATGACATTCTTATAGGAGATTTTGAAACCAAAGCAATATAAAAATAAACATTAAGTCTTGCTCAGGTTCTTTTTCACTAATTAACCCTATGGAGCAATGCAGAGAACAAAAACTAAATGCAGACCCTGGCCAGCAGAGTTCCTTTTCTTCTCTGAGGAGGATGCAGGTGTCATAAGGAGCTGACACAAAGCTCACAGCATAGAGAATCCTCTCTCCTCAAACTCTGTTTGTACTGGGGGAAGAAAAGAGTGATAAAAATACTGCTCTTATGCTACAGTCCTGCATTTGAAATAGCCCTGGTGTTCCCAGTAAAACTAAGAACAGAACTTAGCATACCTTTGAGGATATTCTGTCCAAAAATGTTTTTTGCTTTACAGTGATTGGCAAGGTGAGAAAAATGACATCAAATCTTTTTTCTAATTAATAATTTTTTATGGATTACTGCATATTTCCTATGAAACCACAGGAACATCCAAGTATGTAGAGACAGACTGTAGTGTGAACCCAGTGTTGCTTCTATAAAAGAATTCTGTGTACATTTAGACACACAGCATTTGAAAAAGCACCTGCCTTTGTTCTCTTTCATTCAGAGTGGGGCTCTCCTCTCATGTTACAGAGATCAGTAAGAAAAAAGCTGTCTTGCTATAACACTGCTGACTTCTGTACAGACTGAACTTGACATTTGACTTTGGTCAAGTTTTGACAGAGGAGAATGTGTCCTTCACTATTCTACTTTGCAGACTTCTAAAATATTTGTTATTTCAAAAGAGTATACTGAGTCTGTATGTCCCACTGCTTTCTGAGGGGCTGCAGATAAACAGAACTTTTTTGAGCTTTTTTTTTATTTCTAGCTTTTTTGTTATCTCTGATAATTAATTAGTTTTTAGCATATAATATTGATCAATGTCTTAGAAATCAAGTAACACTGGAATATTTACTGTAACTGAAATAATCCTACTGTTGGTTTCTAAAGAAAAGGCTTAAACTTTCTCTTTAAGCTAAACTAGTGAGCTGCAAACTGCTAAATGCTCAATAATTTCAATTTGGTAGCAACAGAAAATAATATTTTTTCCATGTAGCAGGCACATGCAAGATGCATGAATTAGTGAAGAGGATCTTAGGAGCTTGTGAAAAAGAGCTGACCCATCTAAATGAACAGCTTTTCTTCTTTGTGCTTGTGTGCACTGCACATCCTTTCGGAGCACGGTCCCAAGTTGTAGTGGTGTCCCAAATCACAGGATTAATGTGTCTATGGACAGACCTCTTATGCCTCCAGAATGAAGTACTCCTTGCTAATTTCTCTTCAAGACACCAGCTTAATTGCATTTTAAACAAATGGGCTGCTTTGCTGGCCAACTTTTAAATGAGATAACAGCAATGTTCACTCTCCAGCAGTGATGAGTGCCTTGCAGTAGATTCAAAACTCTGTTCAATAACAGGTTTAATCTCACACCAGCAGATTTACTGCAGAATAAACTGCCACTGAGCTCATAATTAGTAAAACAAAAAAACCCAACCTACTAAATATTATTTTCCAAAGCAGCAGGCTATGTTTTAGTGGAAAATTTCAGTCCTTTTCTTTGTATATTTTATTGATTTTATGTATGATATTGGGAATTCATGCTATGATTTAAGATAATGGTCTTTATCGATCACTTAAGCAGTTGTTTAGCTACACAGTAACAAAATGATGCTCCCATTCGTGGAATATGTGATACTGACAGCGGGGAGACCACAGTGCTTCCCTTCTTAATGTTTATTTCTTTTTTCCAAAAGCATATTCGCTGCTGGAAAACAGCAACTGCAAACATTTGTGCTTTAGAAACAATCTTCCCATAATTTTCTTTGTTGCAGCTATTAGTAGCCAATTGTGATTCAGTGATACCCAGCTCAACAAACAGATGTTCCAAAGTATATTCTCTGTAGCATGAAAAGAAAATATTAATGAGGTAATTGGAACTATTGTAGAAAAGAAAATGAGGAGTATCTAGTTCCTAATGTTTGAAGTAGTGCCCTTTAGTGTTTTCTTGTATTAACAGACTAAGGGAAGTTTCAGTATCTAACTGTTTGAACACCAGAAGGCAAATTTCTAAAAAGACCTTAGTCTGGGTTCAGGTTTGCATGTGCACAGTGTGTTTGTACTCAGGAAGAAGAAAGCTGGGGAATGTAATTTGAAAATTTCGTCTCCCATAATTTAAAAAAAAACAAACAAGAAAAAAACCCCAACAACTCCCAAGGACATAAAGCAGTTGGGAGGACAGGGAATG